GGACAAAAATCAGTGCACTGCCTTCACGAATGCTACAGAAAAACTGAGAAGAGACTTACTCGCTGTCAAATAGCAACTAGCTACTGCTTCAGGCCTAGACAGTCATGATCATGATGCTGATAGAGATAAAGACTTTATTATTTATTATCAAAACACTCGTGGTTTGCGTTCTAAAACTAATGAAATATTCAACTCTATTTCTCAACAAGACTATTACTCTTTGATAACACTGACAGAAACGTGGCTTGATACTGATATCAATGATTGTGAGGTTTTTCCGGATAATTATTCAGTTTACAGATCTGATCGTAAGTTTTCAGCAGTGAATTTGAGGAAAGGTGGAGGAGTGGCTGTTGCTGTTAGGAGTGAATATAAGTCATCTGCCATTGATATACAGGGTGACTTTGAAGTTGAGTCATTAATTTTCAGATAATGATTGTAGAAGGAAGATAAACCAAAATATGTGTGTAAAAATAAAAAAAAATAAAAATAAAATGTTACCTTGTTTTATAAAGTATCCTCCCGACAAGTATTTCAGTGCGGACCTGTGCGCCCAAAAGCATGTCACAAAAACTGTTCGAAATGATTTCCGTTTTGCTCGACGCACAGCTGGGCGCGTCTTAGCCATGTCTCTTTACAAGCACGCAATAAAATCACTGGTTGATTTCTGATCACTGTACTGATTTCCTCAATTCGAGCACGTAATTCTTCGCGTGTATTAACCGGTGTTTTATTCACTAGAGTTTTTAGCCAACCCCACAAACAAAAGTCTAAAGGATTTAAGTCCGGAGACCTTGGCGGCCAAGGTACAAAACCGCCACGGCCGATCCAACGATTATTAAATTGTCTATTTAAAAATTCACGCACATTTCTTGCATAATGGGGTGGTGCCCCATCTTGTAAAAACCACATGTTTTGTCTAATATTTAAAGGCACATCTTCCAGTAAACCAGGCAAATTGTGTTGCAAGAAATCAAGATAATTTTCACCAGTTAAGCGATTTGGTAATTCAAAAGGCCCCACTAAAATTCCATTAACAATTCCCGCCCACAGGTTGGTTCAAATCGCTGTTGAAAATTGGTTTCCCTTATTTCATGGGGATTTTCAATAGCCCAAACGTGAGAATTACGTGAATTAATAATTCCGTTTCTAGTAAAGAGGGCTTCATCACTCACTAAAATTTGATTTAAAAAATTGTCATCATTTTGATGTTTATTTAAAAGCCAATTGCAAAAGTCAACCCTTTGTTCATGATCTTCCGGTTGTAAGGCCTGCACTTTTTGTATGTGAAACGGATAGTACTGATTTTCACGTAGAGTTTTCCAAGTTTTATATTGACTAATCGCCAATTGAGTTGAAATTTGTCGGGTGCTTACTGTTGGATCATCACTTACTAATTCTAAAATTTGTTCTTCTAGTTCTATTTGATCGTGCGGTCTTGGAGCACCGGCATGATCTCCTCTGTGAGGTCTTAAGTCACCTGATTCACGAGCTCTTTGCACTATATTAACAAAGGCACGAGGGGTTGGTTGCACTCGATTGGGAAACCGATCCGCATAGATCCGTGATGCCGCGGCAGCATTTTGTAAAGACCATGTCCACAAGTTCAGCATTTTCGTAAACATGTGCCATTTTTGATTTGAGCCACGCAACAGACACGACTATTCACTTACGCGTTACCGACTACCGACTGACACTGACTGTATACAACTGAAGAAAATAATTGTAAAAAGATCGTTCCAAATTCTTTCGCTTTTTTGTTTCCGATGCGATGAACGGATAAGGCGGATTATATCTGTTGTTGCCAAACACGAACACATAATATTATTATTGAGACAGGGCGGTACTCAAACTTCCAAAGGGCTATAACTTTGTTACTTTAATTTTACCAGAAAAATGGTAAAGGAAAAAAACATTTCTTTTGATCAGATCTACTCACTGTTAAAATAAATGACTCAACTTCGAAGTCACCCTGTATATGTGTATCCACCTTTCAACCAGGTCAGTCCAAAGATAGATATTTTAGTAATTAAAGTCAGTGTCCATTACTCCAAAATATATGTGGTTAATCTGTACGTACCTCCTCAGGAAACCGTTACCGACTATGAAATCTTGTTGGAAGCGATACATAGTCTAGCGTTTTTACATACTGGCAGTATTTTCATTGTTGGGGACTTTAATATAACATCATATGCTGATTATCTTGAAAATAGTATCTCAAATAGTTACATAAACACTTTAAATGTTTTAGCAAGATTTTTCAATGTCATTCAGTATAATTACATACACAATGACAGTGGAAATTTGCTAGACTTAATTTGGAGCAATGCCATTTGCTATGTTGAACATGCTGATGATGCGTTAGTGTGTGAGGATCCCCATCATCCTGCATTGATTGTCACTGTGAGTCATTTTCCTTCCACCAAACATAATAACGTGTTGCATAGCGACTTTAAAGGTTCATATAATTTTAGGAAAGCTGACTTTCAGCTGCTCTATGAAATGATTGTGAATATTAGCTGGGGTGATTTGAAAAATTTTAGAGACGTAGATTTAGCTTGTGAATATTTCTATTCTGAGATCTATAGAATTCTTGATTGTTGTGTTCCTAAAGTTAGAATATCTTATAATAATAGGTATCCTCCTTGGTACAACAGCCATATCATTAGAACCCTCAAACAAAAAATGGTGGCATTCAAGACTTTCAGACGCACTGGTGATACTTATTATATAGAAAAATTTATAAGACTTCGCTCAGAGATAAAGCAACATGTAGCTGTTTCATATCGTCGCTACATTCACTCTTTAGAGTGTGAAATATCCAACAGCTCCGGCAAATTCTGGTCTTTTGTTAATAGAAAAAGAACCTGCACTGGTATTCCGAAGGATAGGCTGTACAATGGGCTGGGATTGAATACACCTAATGATGTTGTTGGCGCATTTGCGGAACACTTTAGTGGGAGCTATAATACTCCAACAGCTCAATCTAATTTTTCTACTGACTACCATTTCACTACTACACCAGCTATGCCTAGTGTACAGGAAATCGATGTGCTACAGGCGCTCAAGAAAATTAAGCCAAAAATGACTGCAGGGCCTGATCAAATACCTGCATTTTTTGTGAGAGATTGTGCGTCCATTTTAGCATATCCACTCATGATCATTTTCAGTCTCTCTCTGAAAAATAATCACTTTCCATCTATTTGGAAGTTGTCTAGGGTAACTGCTATTTTTAAAAAAGGTGAGAGGAATTATGTAGAAAACTATCAGGCTATCACAATTATCAGTAATTTCGCTAAAACATTCGAAATAGTGATACAAATTGTGCTATATTTTCATGTAAGCAGGTCTATCTCCGGCAGTCAACACGGTTTCATGAAGGGCAGGTCCACAGTTCCTAACTTGCTACATCTTACTCAATATGTTTGTGAATCAATCGATAGACAACTTCAAACGGATGTAATATATACTGATTTCTCTAAAGCGTTTGACAGTTTAGACCATAACATTCTACTCAATAAGTTATCTAGATTTGGTCTTTCAGATGCATTGTTGCTATTTTTCAGATCTTATTTATGTCATAGGAAACAATATGTTATGTGCAATGGACATAAGTCAAGCGAATACCCTGTAATGTCCGGTGTTCCTCAAGGATCTAATTTGGGACCTCTGTTATTTATTATGTTCATAAATGATATTTCTGAAGTTATCGATGTCGATTTTCTTATATATGCTGACGATATGAAACTTTTCTGTAGAGTCTCTAACATTGACGATTGTCATCGCTTGCAATGCAACATTGTAAGGGTTGACAGCTGGTGTCGTGAAAACAGACTTGTTTTGAATGATGCTAAGTGTCACGTTTTGTCGTTTACTTTAAAAACAGGGGTAATGGTGTATGAATATAGTATTGGTGACAGGAAACTTGACAGACCTAGTACAATTAATCACTTGGGAGTCACATTTGACAGAAAACTTTCCTTCTCCTATCACATTGAAAATGCTGTTGTGGCTGCATCAAAGGCGTATGGTTTTATTGTAAGAAATACCGGTGATTTCCACAACTCCTTTACACTGAAAATACTGTACTATGCTTATGTAAGATCTAAGCTTGAGTATGCGTCCCTGGTATGGTATCCTCATCATCAAATATATATTGACCGCTTAGAGTCCGTTCAAAGAAAGTTTTTAAAATACCTCTCATACAAAGCAGACGGGATATATCCCGCTATTGGCTTTCCTCATAGTGAGTTGATGGCGAGACACAAAATCTATAATTTAGAGAGCAGACGCAAAATGAATTCACTTAAGTTCATTCACAAGCTTATCCATGGCATTATTGACTCCAGTATCATCTTAGAACAACTTAACTTCATAATTCCTAGATTAGCGTCACGAACTAGTTTAACTTTTTACTTAGCCAGGCCTAGGACTGACATACTTAAGTTTTCTCCTATATATATAATGTGCCGTAATTATAATTCAGTTAAAAGCGTTTTAGATATATTTTCGTTTTGTGCGACTTTGGGAGACATTAATGCTTATTTTCGTTAATGCTTGCTGGTGTGATTGTTGAGTGCTGGGTAGGTAAAGCTAGAACGCTTTCTTATTTTCCTCCCAGTTCTGTTTTGAGTTTTTTTTTTGCGTTTTAGCTTTCTCTACATACATCCACAACATGCATTTGTTTATATTTTCATGTTTATCCATCCTGTAATTGGCTATGGCTGTTGGATGTTGCTAAATAAATAAATAATTAAATAAATAAATAACGTTTACACCCTGTATAAAGAAATGAAAAATATCAGGTATAGTTAAGGAGATATGATTTGTGGAACTTCCATCACAAATTTTTTGAAGCAGGGTTCGTGCTTACATCATGGAAATGAACCGCGATGAACTAAATACCTTATGGGATCTCGGACTAATATTAAAAAGACCAAATAACCAATGTCCAGCGCAAGTGGGTGACACCGGAAGTATTTATCAAAAGCAGGGACGAACAGATCTTCAACCGACGGTCATCAGTTACATTTGATCCCCTTATTTATGTACATTAACATTGAATATGCTTGAACTAAGCCGGTGTATCTTAGTGACTATTAGTGCTTGTATCTACCTGAGCGGCGTAGACACCGGCTTCACTACTACCAGTAAGGTTTTGTTACTTTTGTTGTGTTATCTGAATCGTATTTAAGTACCTTTCGCTCACCTAAGTTTCTTCGACGTTAATTTTATCCATAGTTCGTTTACAAATACGAAAGTTCACTCCATAGTCAAAGTAATGCCTTCACAGATTCTCCTTCCCGCCCTCGAGGAAGGTAAAGAAGCACGCTAAAGCTTGATGAAATTTCTATTTCTTTCCAGGACTAGATGTAAACTAGATTCTATACAGCTATACGCACTCGATTTGCTTAAAAAATGGATTTTATTTCGCGTTGCATATGCTTAATGACTTTCGAAAATCTTTTACTGCAGTCTGGCTTTTTGTATTTTTACTTCCTAGGCCACTGCACCGTAAAGAAGTATTTTAATCGCGAATTAATTTCTAAAATAATACAGGGTGTAAACGTTATGATAGTCATTATTTAAATGGGTGATAGAGGGGTAAAAAGAAGCAAGAAGTTCCATATAACATGAGGGTCAAAACGGCATTTTTTAGAGACAGGCGACTTTAAAGTAAAATAAAAACTGACTACGCCGCAAATCAAGACGCAAATTACGACGGAACGCAATGTAAATAACGATGAAGTTTGTTATTTTTGGCTCTTAGGTATTATTTCATTACTTGGTAATGTACTCGTAAAATGCAAACAATTAAAAAATCAGACTTACCACTAACTGTATCAGGGCTTCACCTGGTGTGTGAAAGTTTTTGAACGTATTAAAAAAATTCACTTATAAATAGGGAACACAATTTGGATACATACATTGTTTTTCTTTTTAAAACCCACACTGCACTTTTTTTTCGTATTTAAAGAAGGTGGTCAAAATGTCGTTCTCCACTTTCAACACAAGCTTCATTACGTCGAACCCAGTTTCTTCTTACTCTAGGTCCTCGAAGTTGTCCATTTATTACTTCAGCCGCATTAATTTTTTTTTCGCGAAGTTGTGCTTCAGTTGTTATTGGACCAGACCCATAAACCAACCCTTTAAGTTCTCCACAATACCAGAAATCCATCGGACTGAGGTCAGGCGATCTTGCTGGCCATTTTCGAGGATCAGGAGCATTTCGACCGGTCCAGCGATTTGGATAATGTTCATTCAAATACTGATTGATGCTTCTAAAAATGTGTGGTGGTGCCCCGTCATGAAGAAACCACAAATTCTGTCTCCGTTGTAATGGCATGTTGTCTAAGGTCTGTTCCAAAAGTTCTGGTAGGTTATTGGCTAGAAAGCTAAAGTATCCTTCTCCTGACAACTTTGGGGGTAACTCGAAAGATCCAATTACCTGTTTGTCAAGAATACCCGCCCAAATATTTATTTTAAAACGTTGTTGGAAATGACCTTCACGAATGGTATGAGGATTTTCTTGGGCCCACGTGTGAGTATTATGTAAATTTAATATCCCGTCTCGCGTAAAAGTACATTCGTCCGTCGCTAGATTGTTTTTAAGAAAATCTGGATTTTCAATGTTTTTGTGCGAAAACCACTGACAGAATGTCTCGTTGTACATGGTAGGGATAAAGCATATTTTCCCGTAGGATTCTATGGACTAAGGTATGCGATAGTCCTACGCGACGGCCTAATTCCCGAGTGCTGATATCTGCATTGATTTTCACGATAGTTAAAATCTGTTCCTCCTGCTCTACAGTGGCCTGTCTTTAACGAGTGCGAATATTAGAGGACTCAACACGTCCTGTATCTCGAAGTCTTTGGTACACTTGCACAAATGTCCTTCTGTCTGGGTGTACCCGTTGGCGAAATCTGTCGCGATAAGATTTGAAGTCTGACGAGCTTCACCGTAAAGTAACAACATGTCGGCGAACTCTTGATTCGAGAACATTGTAAATAAACACGACGACGTGCGCGAACAATAACTAACCACTGTTACCGTTTGCGATCGATTGCCGGTTCGATAAGAGTGATGAATGACCGACGCGTGTTGTCATGTGTGTTTTAAATATTTAATTTAATGAAACTTACTGACTACGAATTTTGACTTAATGCCATTTATTTGTTAATTACCCAATTTAAAAACGTTTTAGATTAGATTATAAAAATTAGTAAGATAGTGGTGATTGTGGTCGATATAAAGCACTTAAAGTTGTAAACTAGAAAGCCATTTAGACAAAAATCTATTGACTTTTGGACCACGGGTCATATGAACTTGTTCCCCTTTTTCCCCCTATTACCCATTTCAATAGTGACTACCATAACGTTTACACCCTGTATATTGCGTTTTTCGGATGTTATATGACATGTACAGGGTGGCCAATCAAGAATGTCAGGTACTGTATCTGGAACCTAACCATCGTAGAGACTTGCTGCAAAAAGGACCAAGAGAAATGCCTGGAAAACATTTCAAAGTTTCTTATATGGCCGCTAGGGGGCGTAACTTTAATCTTGAATCTAAGAAAGTGATGTTTATATGAATTCCGCTATATTCACCTAACAAAAAAATACCTCATCTTTAAACTCGAGGATAATCTGAACATTTTTTGTTTGACAATGTTTGCCGTATCTCTAAAAATAAAGTTGTGTCGTGAAAAATCTTGGGATATCGTAAAGACTCTTATTGAAGAGGATTTCAGAGTCATTATAAGCTTCTTCAATAATAAAATATTAACAATCAATTATGAAAAAACTGTATATCTGACTTTTTCATGTGATGATAGGAACAGTCCCACATTCAATAACATACACATCAAATTACCACCCATAGATGAAGTAGTAGTCCTAAAGCCACCAAATCATATAAAATACCTAGGAATCATAATAGACAACCACCTAAAATTGGACAAACAAATAGAAAACTTAACGAAGAGATTAAGATGTCATATACCAAAATTTAAATTTTTTAGGGAAATTCTTTCTGATAAAGACTTATGCACCATTCAGGGTGTCCTGTGTACTGTGAGAGGTACCCGAATGCAGCTCGCCATCCATATCATCGAGTGTTCACAAATGTGCACCGCTTACTGTTCTCAGAGGGCCAACTACCAAACCAATCACACGGTGAGGGAAGATCTTTCCTTCCTTACGAAGACGTGGTGCTGTCGAAGAAAACCCGAGTACTTCAGTGCGTGCAATAGAACTAAAAACAGGTGTGCCCAAAAGTACAGCTCATAGAATCTTGCAAAAAAACGTGCTCCATCCATACCACGTACAGCGTGTTCAAGCTCTTCTGCCCCGGGATAATGAGCCCCGAGTTGATTTTTGTCGCACAATGTTAGAAAGACACAGGGCAGATCCACGGTTCTTTGAAAAAATGTTATGGTCAGATGAAACCACATTTAAGAAATATGGGTACATGAATCTGCATAACTTACACGAGTAGGTTTTTGCAAAATCATTTAGAAAATTTATTGGAGGACGTGCCACTGAGTATTTATAGGGACATGTGGTTTCAGCATGATGGCTGCCCAGCGCACTATGCACTCTCAGTGAGAGAGTATCTCGATCAAAACATTCCAGGCAGATGGATAGGGCGGTCTGGTACAATACAGGAGTTGACAGACTGCCGTAGGGTGTGAAATTTCTATATTTGTTTCAAAGACCTATAATTTTCACAAAACATACATAAAATTTTTTTAAATATTTTTCTGATAGCTGTTATGACTTTGCCTATCACCCGGTTTCGGCTTGACGTCGACTTCTGGGACACCCTGTATACAAAACGTTAGTTAACCGTTGTTAACTTATGGAATTTTGGCATGGGGACCGGTGTTGAATAAATACTACAGGAAACTAGAAATAACTCAGAAATGGATTCTTAAAATCATGTTCCACAAAACTAACACCTATCCAACCGATATGATATATAAGGTATCCAAGATATGTGATTGTAGGCAACTCTATTTTGAGAGTGTGTTCACATATATTACAAAACATAAGCATTTATTAAATTTCCTCCCACATGACCATCACACCAGATCCAAAGATCATTCAGTATGCATACCAAAGCCTAAAAAGACCATAGGTCAGAGGAGTTTCACTTTCCTAGGACCAAAAATATATAACTTAATCCCCCCTCAGATAAAAGATATTAAAAATACAAAGGTTATGAAAAAGCATCTAAGACTGTGGATTTTAGACCAGCATAGTCTCAAGATTCATCAAGCAATTGATATCAAAAATATCTACTACTATTGAAAGCGGAAATCTCTCTCAAGATTATTGAAATTTCAAAATGAAAAAAAAAAGTATAAATCAAACTGATTTGAGTTCTTACCTCCTGAATTATTGCATTTTATGACTTGTTTTTATCAATTTTTGTTTTTGTCTAATCACCTTCTATTGTCTTTTGTTTCAATATTGTCTCTATCCCGATTGCGTCTACGTCCCGATTTTTGCATCTCCGTCCCGATTGTGTCTTTTTAAAAATTTTACCAGGACTTGTCTAATAAATTTTATATATATATACATATATATATTTCTGTTTTTTTTGGTCTTAAGTTATTTATACATGAGCTCATGCCCAAGCACAAGTTTCTGCGAAACTTTTTTGGGTCCATTCGCTTATTGTATAATATTGTCTTTCATCTACTACTGCTATACTTTTTCTTTTGCAATAAACTTATTATATAGACGACATACTAAATAGTGGTCTCTTTCTAATGCGATTTCGTATTGGAGTACCCTTCGTGAAGTGATATACAAACTATATCCCTTACTTATCGACTTCCTTTAAATATTTCCACTGACAATGAAAAATATCATTTATCTGCAGCATTACCGACAGCGTTATCAAGCATCAGCAGCATATTTTGTTTGAACTTGAAGAGATTATTATTGCATTCCGTTGGGAATTTCAATGATCGCGAGACCTAAATAATAAGTTAAATGACTTCTTTTTGATAAGTTTTTCTATTTAATCGATGCACTTTGCTTCTTCGAGCGCGTCCATCCGATGATATCATATTCCATTAGAGAGAACATAAATGAGCGAGTCAAATGTAACAAAATTTCGTTAACTTGTGTTATTACGTTATTTAATATCGACTCGTTCTTATTTGGAAACCCTTTTGATTATGTCCACAGAAATCAGTCCGCGACCAATTTGGAATTCCACGGACACTGACAAACTTCGCAAAGACCTCTTGTTGAATTACGACAAATTCGCAAGGCCTGCTCAACATTTCAATGCAACTGCTGTAAGATTTGGTCTGGCCGTTCTGCATGTAGATGTGAACGAATTTAAGTCTACGTTCACTGTCTACAGTATCCTTCGTTTGGTATGTATACACATTTGGGGCTGCCGCACATTGAGCCACCGATGATGGTGCGAGTCGCGAATATTGGACAAACAGCTGTATATGACTAGCCAATAGTAGCTTCGACTGGTGGCTGCGTCTACGAGCCCCTTCCCACTTCAGTTGGCCCACTACAAGATTTGTACCAAAATATGCCTTTATAAACTAAACTTGACGAAACTATATACTTCTAAAACAATTTATTTTCTCAAAAACATTTTAGATACACTCTAGTCGTAAAAAATACATATTTGAAATCACTTAGACCTAGAAATAATAGAACATCTGAACAAATAAACAATGTGCGAATAAATGCGCGAAGATAACAAAGCAACAATTGAAAGATTACCATTGGTTAACATCACCTTTATTTTGTAAAACGGCTGAAATTCTTTGGGGCATAGTGTTAATCAAGTTTTGGCAAAAATTTGGTGTAAAACTATCCCATATTTCTTGAAGCTTTTGTGTCAGTTCAGTGATTGTACGAGCAGGATGTTGTCGTAGAACCTTTTTCATCTCGTGCCACAAAGCTTCAATAGGCGACAGATCTGGACTGCTAGAAACCCATTTGAAAAGTGGTGCATTATTTTCTTCCATCCATTTTAAAGCCTTTTTTGAAGTATGGCACGCTGCACCATCTTGCTGAAACACAAAATCTTGGCCGGATGTCAAACATTCTTCCATCACTGGTAAAAGCGATTCTTCTAAAATTGCCAAATATTTGTTTGTATCCACATTTCCATCACTAAAATGAAGTTTCCCTACTCCTTTTGATGACATACTGCCCCAGACCATAATGGATGCTGGAAATTTCACTTTTCTCTTCAGACAGTCAACATGGAATGCTTCATTTTTTTTTGCGAATAACTCTACTGAGACTGTCACCAACACAAACTTCGAATCGGGCCTCATCACTCCACTGTATTGCACACCATTGTTGAGGTGTCCATTGACTATGTTCTTTAGCCCATCTAATCCGATTTTTCTTTTGCAGTGGAGTTAATAGTGGCTTTTTTTTGGCCTATAAACAAGTTGTGCAACTTTAGGGTTTTTACTTCACTTTTGTTTTATAAGAAAACTTACCTTACAAGTGCTAAATCCCAGTTTGTGGGCCTCTCTGTGAGTTGTGGACCTCGAAATTCTCCTTCCAACAGCGACACTCCACAGAGCACTTAATTGTAAATAATTGGTACGCTTGTTTTTCACGATTATTCTTCTTAATGCTCTTCGGTCGGCATTTGTGATATTACTTTTTTTCACATATCGTGGCTTAATATTAACTGAACCAGTTACTTTATATCTTCTAACAATATTTCTCACGCTGTACCGCGATAAGTATAACAAAGTTGCAATTTCTGAGTTTGATTTCCCAGAATTAAAAAAATTAATTATCAGTAACCGAATTTTCTCACTAATAACCTTTCCTCTACCCATTTTGAAAACCTTAACTACCCAAAACTATTTTAAACGAATTCTGACAGCTGTGATTAATAAAAACAATTGTCATGGCTTTTGTTTTTCACAGCCACCTATGCGTTATAAACTTATTTTGCATTGAAATGAAAATAGGTTGATATGCTGTAATTGCAACATGTGTTATTTTTATGCTGCAAATTTGATTAGGGAGTGATAAAGTTGTGTTTTCTACTATATATTATCAAAATATTCATTGTTAATATTTTAAACCTATAACACCCTGCTACATTTTTATTATTTGTGTTTGATAAGAAAAAAACTAAGATTTCAATAGTTGGGCCAACTGAAGTGGGAAGGGGCTCGTATTTATCATTATAATTATGATTCCACTATTTTCTCAGCTAAGTGCTGGTGTCGTTGCTGTAAATGCACTGGAGATAAATTTATATGAGGATTTGTCTTCCCAATATGAACTATCATACACTTTGCTGTATTGAGTGACATTTGACATTTCTTAGATCACTCCTGGATGGCAAGTCCTCTTTGATTTCGACCTCTTGTCATGCAGGGTTTCCGAATAGCTTGCTATCAGCTGCATAGAATGAAATGTTTGTTTTTATATGCATTGATAGATTTGACGTGTAACAGCCTTGTGGAAAATCACTCAGCACGTGGTGTGAGTCACTTAGAACACCAAGAATTCGATCTATCCAACCTAAAACCTTAACTCTTACACCAAAATGCCCAAGTTTATGAATCAAATTTTTATGCGGTACTTTATCAAAAGGTTGTTCGTGTTCAATATATATATATATATACTAAGTGACATATAAATCCGAACACCCAGTTTAAATGGTTTTATTTTAATAAAAGTTGGTGAATGTATTTATCTTACTGTAAATAACAAGTGAAAAAATTTTCAGCCTTATCAGTTGGACATTCCGGTTTTTATACTGCTTTTTTTTGATTCACTAACGCTGTAAAAATGAATATTTCAGCCGCAGTAAAGAATCAACGTTGGCCTATTTTGGTTCTTGACATCCTTTACGATCGGTTACGTTGCCTAGAGTACGGAGACCTGTACGATTTCGTCAACTTAGTGAGTTTGATAGGGGCCGTATAGTGGGACTTCGGGAAGCTGGACTTTCTTTTCGGGCAATTGCAGTTAGAGTGCAAAGAAGTGTAGACACTGTGGTTAGGTGTTGTCAGGCATGGCTTCGAGAAGGCCGTACGCAAAGAGCAAGGGGCACTGGACGCCGCCGTAGATCAACAGACCGTGAAGATCGCCGCCTAAGATTATTGGCCTTAAGGGACCGTTTCTCCACTACCAGGTCCATTGCAAATGAATGGTTTGCAGAACACGGAAGACCTATTGGCATGCGAAGTGTTTACTGACGAATGAGAAGTTTTGGCTTGTTTTCATACCGGCCACACTGGGTCCTCCCTTTAACTCGAGAACACCGACGTAATCGCCTTGAGTGGTGCAGACAACGGTCACTCTGGGATCAGGAATGGAACAGTATTGTCTTTAGTGACGAGTCTCGATTTTGTTTAGGCATGCACGATGGTCGTGCCAGGGTTAGAAGGCGACGTGGTGAAAGGAGGAATCCACAGTTTTTTGTTGAAAGACATGTTCATCACACTGTTGGAGTTATGGTTTGGGGTGCTATAGCTTATGGTTCCAGGTCACCTTTAATCTTCATCAGAGGTAACATGAACGCGCAGCGTTATATCCACGAAGTTCTAGAACCCCATCTTTTACCCTATCTTGACACCCTGGCAGATCCAACTTTCCAACAAGATAATGGCCGGCCACATGTTGCAAGAGTCACAATAGACTTCTTTCAACATAATGATGTCACATTGTTACCATGGCCACCAAGATCTCCCGACTTATCCCCAATTGAGCACGTGTGGGATATGATGGGTAGGAGATTGCTCAATTTGCAACGTCCTCCTCAGACTCTAGAAGCACTTCGAAAGGAGTTGGTGGTTGCCTGGAATGAGATACCACGCGTTGGAGAATGCGTAGCACATCAGGGTGCATCCACACATTATTAACGGTCAAAGGGCTTTAAAGCAGCGCAATCATTTTGAAATTTTTATCATTTACTTATTATGCTTCATTAAGTACTTATACAAAATTTTATTAAAATAAAACCATTTAAACTGGGTGTTCGGATTTATATGTCACTTAGTATATTATATTTATAAGATTTCTTTCGTCATCCATCGTTGTAAAGTAGAGAACAACTTGGTAATAACAGAACTTCCAGGTAAAAAGCCATGCTTAAGGCAGAAGTTGATTTTTTACAATACTCTGATAGCTGCCGCTGTATTTTCTAAATGGCGTTTTTGAACAACCTCGACCGCACTTAAATTACAAGATGGGTGCCAAATGGAAATTCGTCGATGGTGAAAACAATGGACGCTTCAATAATACAAATAACAAAGATGGTTCTGGATTTAGTTCATAGGACAATGTGACATACAGACTGATAACAGTTCTGATAGTGACTCTGAGCGAGTAACTCAGGCGAATAAATAAATTTGTGGCTTATGACTTCACTCCTGTTATAGATGTGGCTTTTGTTACGTAGGAAAACTATTTGTTTATCAGTTACACAAGACCACTAGACAATGATTTCAAACCATCTATTTATCCGAAAATTTCATAATCGGTATTGAGAACGAGTATCGTAGACGTGCAGCCTCGGAAATGAATTTAGTATAGTTTGAGTGGCCACCACCGGTGGCCAAATGTGTGGCCCCCTTAGTTTATGTTTGGAAAAGAAGACCCATACTTTGTAGGCATGGACAGATGAGAAGCTAAAATGGAATAGCTCCGAATACGGAGGAATAAAGCAGCTACATCTAGCTGAACACGAAATATGGCAACCCGATATATCTCTTTTCAACAGGTAATATTTGTACAAAAATACAAGGGCTTTTTTTGTCCTGTGACAATTTTCGAAATTACGCTTTTTTAAATACGGACTTCTGAAGGACGCCACTGGAAATTGGTTTTTATGAAATAAATTTTGGAGGACTCTGTAATTCAACAAAACTTTGACAGCTTAGAGAGGTTGAGTCCTCATGATGTTGTCCAAAAAAATAATTAACTCTCCACATCACCATAGGATGGACTACCTCTAATACAAAATTGCTAATTGTTTACACTCTGAATAATGCTTACTCAATATTAATGTTTTTGGAAAACATGATCCTATATCTGAAATAAAGTATTCTTGTTCAGTTTCAATAAGCTGTCATGTTTGATTAATTATGATACTGCATCACCCCGTATACTGATTCCACCATTTTCAAAACAGACTAATTTTGATAACGGATTCGTAATCAGCAATCCGAAAAAACCCAGTATACAGGGTGTTCCTTAACGATATGCGCATATTTAAGGGTGTGAATCTACATGAAAAATTAATGTTAGTTTGTTTTATAAACTATGGTCCAAAAATGTTTTCTTACAAAAACTCGGTGTGTTGAAGTTTTAGGAAAGACATGGAAATTAATTAATATTTTCAGAACCGCTTCAGATATTTCACTGATATTTAGTACGTAGTGAAAGTTAATAAGGTTGCAGATTTTTCAATGCAAAAATATTTTTTAGCTTCAATAGTGGCGTGCGTACGAGTATTGACTTCGATATTTTTTAAGAAAAAAATGATACGCCAATGATTTTTAGCCGAATAGAAATTATTTTTGAATTCCTCATTCAATTTAAAAAAAATTATCTCTCTTGAATTGTTTTCCTTCGATACGCCATTTTTTGAGTGAAAAAATGAAAACCGTTCTATTGTCTAACTTGCAAAATTATTATTAATTTAATTGTAAAAATTAAACACATTAGGGGTAATGAACAACAACAACTGACAACATAAACATGACAATAAAACCAACGAAATGATTACAAAAATTATTGAAAATGCCCCCCTTCACTTAGAATGCATGCTTCCACCCTCCTTCTCATGGAATTGCGCACTCGTTGAAATATCTCTGGAGTGTTTTTTATTCTATCACAAGCTGCAGTTATTCTTTCTCTTAATTCCTCTACAGTGTTAATGGGACTTGTTTACACTAGTGTCTTAAGATAGCCCCACAAAAAGAAATCTAAACTGTTGAGCTCTGGGGACCTTGGTGGCCATTCTTGGGGCCCACCGCGGCCAATACAACGATTTGGATAAACAGTTTGTAAATAATTACGAACCGCTACACAGAAATACGCTGGTGCACCATCATGCATGTACCACATATTGTTTCTTATCACTAACGAAACATCATCAAGCAGCAAAGGCAACTGTTGTTGAAGACAATTGAGGTAAGTCTGTCCGTCAAGTCGTCCCGGCAACAATAATGGCCCAATAAAGTGGTTGCCAATAATTCCTGCTCATACGTTAGCCGAAAATTGGTGTTGGAAATGGATTTCGGTTACGGCGTAGGGATTTTCTTCTGCCCATAAAAGATTATTGTGGAAATTCTGAATGGTATTTCGAGAAAAATTACCTTCATCCGTGAACAGAATCATTGATTTAAATTGCGGATTTTGTGTAATTTTTTGAAGATACCACTGACAAAATGTCACACGCCTTGGAAAATCAATGGGAAGTAATGCCTGTACTCTTAAAATATGGTAAGGATATAACAAAAAATCCACTAAAATTCTCCAAACAATTTGATGGCAATTATTTAAGTGTCTAGCGATCTTCCTCATACTCGTTTCAGGATGTTCTTCGACTTCGTGCAGCTCTGCTTCCTCAATTTCAGGTGATCTCACACTTAGAGGTCTACTTTCAGATGTTCCTTTTCGGACTGAACCAGTTTCAACAAGACTACGATGAATATTAGAAAAGGTTCGACTATTTGGCAAAGCACGATCGGGATATCTCTGGTGATAAATCCGTTTGGCTTGTTCACCATTACCGTCGGCAAGGCCATATAGGTAATGCATTTCCGCCATGTCTGCATTTCGATAATTCACCATTATTAACAAGATTTTAAAAACTAAATAATGAAACAGATGTCACAGCGAACAGATTTGAATAACAGAGACTTGTCATATGTCAAAAGCCAGTGACATATACCAGAGCAACTATATATTTATCAATTGCTAAATTGCATTCTTCAATTATTACATTAATTTTCTCTGACAAGAAAATGGTTTTTATTTTTTTGCTCAAAAATGGCGCATCGAAGGAAAACAATTCTATTCAATTTGTTCTTGAATGGAGAATTCAAAAATAATTTTTATTTGGCAAAAAACCATTGGCGTACCATTTTTTTCTTAAAAAATATCGAAGTCAATACCCGTACGCACGACACTGTTAAAGCTTAAAATTATTTTTGCATTGAAATATATGCAACCTTATTAACTTTCACTACGTACCAAATGTCAGTGAAATATCTGAAGCGGTTCTGAAAATATTAATTAATTTCCATTTTTTTCCTAAAACTTCAACACCCGCAGTTTTTGTAAGGAAACATTTTTAGACCATAGTTTATAAAGCAAACTAACATTAATTTTTCAAGTAGATTCACATCCTTAAATATTCGCATATCATTAAGGAACACCCTGTATATTTTTTTACACCTGTGACAATTTTCGAAATCGATCTGAACACAAAAGATCCCGGATCCTGACGGTATTTTCACCGGTTCTTGAAGATGAAGGCCTTCCGCTTCGTGGTTTGTCTTCCATCTTCAATCGACCGAAAAACCTATGTCCCAAACATGGCGCCTCCAGTGTTGCCAGATCGATCGCCACATTGTCAGTCTCATCATCTCGTAAGATTAGCGTAATTGCTTGTTTTTTGCCCTAAATTGGCCGCCAATTTCGATCAGTCCTCGGCACAAGTCAAGTTTGAAAATTACTTTTTCGAACGGTTGTAAAAAAATACTAATTTCCATTTGATTTCAGTGCCAGCACTATATCAGTGAATCACTACACCAACACCCATTTTGTAGCATATTCATACGGTGAAGTGTCTTGGTCACCACCAGCTCAGTTCACTGTTCTTTGCAACTTTGACTTGAGGTACTGGCCTTTCGACACCCAACAATGCCATTTACATTTTTTGTCTTGGACATATAGCGGAGATCAGATAGATATCGACTTCATTGACTCTAAACCCATCAGTGTAAGTATTGAGTTTTTTGTTCTTTTTTTTTATATTCCAACTACCACGAAGGCCTAAGGCCTAAACACCCATTGGGTACCGTGGGGCTATAGGGGGATACAGGGGAAAGGGGGAACGCCACACGGACTCTGGCGAGGGAACACGTGTGCATGCAACATACACACATTCTGGCTCCGCTTACGAGATCCGCCGGGTGGTACCTCCACGTTCGACAGTCAAAGACCGTCTACCACCTACGGACAATCACAACATCCATAGCCAAGAGAAAAATTTCTCCCGGAACGGGACTCGAACCCGCACAGCGCACGGCGACTGATCAGGAGACCGAAGAGTCTACCACTGCGGCCACCGCGCTCGCTTAACGTTGCTCGGGTAAAAGGTTTTCCAATATGGACGGGCCCATACTGAAAGGGGGTTAAACAAGCTGTGTGTGGGGTATTGAAGAAGAAACTGAGTTGGGTGGACCATGGAAAGTCACCATGATGAATAAACAGTTATTATTCTTTTATTTACTAGACAAATTAAACGAATGATAAAACAAACAAATTATTATGTAACACTTTATTTCATTATTCAACTTATACAATGTACTGTTCATAGACTCAATCACTATTTATTGAAATATGATTTTTTTAAACTCTTCCGAAAGGCCTTACAACGACCAAACCTCCATAAAAAACCAATATAATAAATAAATCGCTTAACTTGATACTAACGTGATGAAAATATGCCTATACTACCAAAACCACATTAAAAGGCATGTCATTGAAATGAAACATCATATACTAAGTGATATATAAATCCGAACACCCAGTTTAAATGGTTTTATTTTAATAAAATTTTGTATTAAGTACTTAATGAAGCATAATAAGTAAATGATAAAAATTTCAAAATGATTGCACTGCTTTAAAGCCCTTTGACCTTTAATAATGTGTGGATGCACCCTGATGTGCTACGCATTCTCCAACGCGCCTAGGCATGCTTCTGATCAGGTGGTCAATGTCCTCCTGTGGTATCTCATTCCAGGCAACCACCAACTCCTCTCGAAGTGCTTCTAGAGTCTGAGGAGGACGTTGCAAATTGAGCAGCCTCCTACCCATCATATCCCACACGTGCTCAATTGGGGATAAGTCGGGAGATCTTGGTGGCCATGGTAACAATGTGACATCATTATGTTGAAAGAAGTCTATTGTGACTCTTGCAACATGTGGTCGGGCATTATCTTGTTGGAAAGTTGGATCTGCCAGGGTGTCAAGATAGGGTAAAAGATGGGATTCTAGAACTTCGTGGATATAACGCTGCGCGTTCATGTTACCTCTGATGAAGATTAAAGGTGACCTGGAACCATAACCTATAGCACCCCAAACCATAACTCCAACAGTGTGATGAACATGTCTTTCAACAAAAAACTGTGGATTCCTCCTTTCACCACGTCGCCTTCTAACCCTGGCACGACCATCGTGCATGCCTAAACAAAATCGAGACTCGTCACTAAAGACAATACTGTTCCATTCCTGATCCCAGAGTGACCGTTGTCTGCACCACTCAAGGCAATTACGTCGGTGTTCTCGAGTTAAAGGGAGGACCCAGTGTGGCCGGTATGAAAACAAGCCAAAACTTCTCATTCGTCGGTAAACACTTCGCATGCCAATAGGTCTTCCGTGTTCTGCAAACCATTCATTTGCAATGGACCTGATAGTGGAGAAACGGTCCCTTGAGGCCAATAATCTTAGGCGGCGATCTTCACGGTATGTTGTTCTACGGCGGCGTCCAGTGCCCCTTGCTCTTTGCGTACGGCCTTCTCGAAGCCATGCCTGACAACACCTAACCACAGTGTCTACACTTCTTTGCACTCTAACTGCAATTGCCCGAAAAGAAAGTCCAGCTTCCCGAAGTCCCACTATACGGCCCCTATCAAACTCACTAAGTTGACGAAATCGTACAGGTCTCCGTACTCTAGGCATCGTAACCGATCGTAAAGGATGTCAAGAACCAAAATTAGCCAACGTCGATTCTTTAGTGCGGCTGAAATATTCATTTTTAGAGCGTTAGTGAATTAAAAAAAGCAGAATAAAAACCGGAATGTCCAACTGACAAGGCTGAAAATTTTTTCACTTGTTATTTACAGTAAGATAAATATATTCACCAACTTTTATTAAAATAAAACCATTTAAACTGGGTGTTCGGATTTATATGTCACTTAGTATAGTTTGATTGGACCTCTTTTACAGCTAGATTTATTAATAAACCATACAGAATGGACAATTGTAGAAGCTACTCAGAAGAAAATTAGCAAAGACTACCCATGTTGTGATATTGCCTACCCATATTTGGTAGTAAACTTTACCATAGCTCGATCATCGCCTTCATACAAAGCTATCATTGTCACACCAACGTTTGGTAAGTAATCATTAAACACTTATAGACAAAATTGCGTCTAATAGCTGTAATATATTGTTTACATCCATTTTTCAAGAATGATCCAGTTTGTCCTTGGGTGTTGGAAACATACCAATAGAATTCCATTGTCACTTCAGATACCGATATAATATGACCGTACATTTAATGTCTATCAGTATCGACGTCCGAGAATAAATGCTGTTTTTCATACACCTGAGAGAAGATGGTTCCATGATAAAAATAGGTTTACATTCTAAAATCGTATTTGCGAGATAGCGAAGGCATGAAATTTTACATTGGAATGCCGTCGAAATACGTATACTTTATCTGAAGTCACTTGAAATAGCATAAAAACCTTTGGTCGGCGCGTCCTTTGTAATTTCATGACGTATCATAGGCGTGCGGTCATTTATTTAGAACGATAATAATAATGTTTTTATATCACAATAAATGGATTTTACTATCTTCTTATTTTTTCCATTTGGGATAAAAAATACTTATATTGGGAGTTTAATTTATGTTGACTGAAAGTTAAGAAATGGAAAAATTACAGAATTCCAACGTTTGACATAGGCAAATATTTACATAGCAGGTAGGTATATAAAAAGGTATATAAAGACTTACATTATAGGTATTTATATATCATCCTCGCCTTCGGAGCTGTCGCTAGAGTCATCTTGTAGAGGAATTACAACGGGATTTACAGGAGGCAAAACACAATATTCATTTTCTTTTTCAATAATATGCCTAGAACACTGCTTCCATAGGTCTGTGGCAGCAATATGAGATACTGCATCTCTTATTGTGGCCAATAGCGATTCACTTAATTGAGGGGTCTGATTATGTTTTCTTACTTTTTTTTTTAAAGCAGCCCAGACCAACTCAATCGGGTTAAAAATGCAGTAGTAGGGAGGTAGACGTAATACTTCATGGCCATTTTGCTGAAGCAGATTGTCAACAACATACTCTTTTTCAAATTTTTGTCTTTTAATAAGATCCAATAATATGGCTTTGGTTGATTTTTGTGGTATTTCCATTCCCTTATCCTTCATAAAATCAATAATGTCTTGTTTTTTTGTGCCTGTATTCGGAATTTTGTTTTTCTGTCGGGAATTGTATGGCGCATTGTCCATAATAATCACTGAATTTGGGGAAATGTTCGGTATTAACTGCTGCTCTATCCACTTTTCAAATAAGTCGGAGGTCATGTCCTCATGATAGTCGGCACATGATTCTTTGATGTTTTTGGCAGATAACAGCAAGGCATTAGGTATAAATCCATTTTCACTGCCAGCATGGAGAATAATGATTCGTTTTCCACGGTTGCATGGTGCATTTAAAATGCACTTGTTGCTGTCGTCAACCCAGCCGTACTGCACAACATCATGGGTATCATACCACGTTTCATCCAGGTAAATCAGATTTCTTTTCTGCTCTCTATAGATTTTAACTTTGTGCAAAAATTCTTGGCGCAATTCAACGATTCGAGACGACTCCATAATCACCATTCTTTTATCTAATTTTTTGTATTGAAAACCACACAGTTTTACAATACAGTGCAGTGAGTCTAAGCATTTGTAATTATAAAAATCTTCAGGATAATCTTTTAATTTATCCCGTATCACTTCCAAAGTGGGCACCAAATTTTCTTTATAAAATCCGTATATTATACGACGAATATCTTCCTGAAAACCCACGTCTATTCTTTTTAATTTTTGCCCTATGCGCTTTCTGTGGAAGGAATGGTTGACTACATCTCCCCTTTTTATAACCCGATAAATGGTAGACCGACTGATTTTTGTCAGGATACAAATTCTGTTTAAAATTTGATTTTGCGAGGAATCTGGATTTTCGTTTTTCAGACAATCATACATATTTAGGATTACTCTTTGGGTCTGTTCCTCTAAATCTTTATGAAAGAATTCTGCCTGCACAGGTTCATCAACCATCTCCTCGTGGCTTGGAGCATTTTCGCAAGGTCTCCAAAGAGCCATATTTAGGACACACAAGAACAATCAACACAACAATTAAATCAACAAGTAAACTGAGTATTCAAAAGTCAAAAACACACAAACTAATAAAATCTATGAAAAAACGCGGACAGACTAAAGAAAACACGTTTATTCACCGCTACACGGCACTGGCTAAACTGTTTCAATTTTCAGTAGCCACCTGCACTTGTTCGGAGCTCTGAAATACACGCTTTCTTATTGGCTATGTCCACGCATAGGCGTGCTTTACTCCACGTGGACCGGTGAAACTGCCTTTGATCTTATACGGGGGATATTTGCTGCGAAATTTGGCGATTTTTGCAGCAACAGAGCGTGTTAAATATAGATATATAAAACGCACCCGGTATTTCACAGTGTTTCAAGTGACTTCAGATAAAGTATACATGAACTTTTGAATGAAGGTTTTTAAACACTATGAATATCATGTATACAGTATGTTATATGACGTATATTACAAATTTAATTAATTAATTTATGATGCTCTCACTAATTTATTACAACACGATTTATTACAAACTTATGACGATGTCATCTGGACTGTGATGTTTTGCTGTTGACTCATCGTCCACTGTCAGTCAGCTCTCTCCCTCTCTGCCCTCTGTGCGTGTATTTTTTTAATCGATAAACCCAGAGGATTTCCTGGGTTTTTCTGACAGATCTCGAATCTCCATCGAAGGTTTTAGATGGCGGTCGATATCTCTCGATGCTTGGCAAATGTTCTCTATGTGCGTAATTCTGGTTGTCTAAGCGTTGACATACGGGGGTATCCAAATTTCTTGTTACGAGGGCGTTACAATATCAATTCATATCATTTGTTTACAACCTTTTAATGTTTAATCTGCGAATACACTGCATTATATTGTCAGCATTGAACCCCATTAACGTCGGAGTATTTTCAAAGTAGAATGGGTTAAAGCTCTATATACCAATTTTATCAAAAATATTCTAATCATAGTCTCTTCAAGAAGAATAGTCTGACAAACATTTCTCGGAAAAGCCGATTCATGTAAAATTAAATACCATACAATATGCAATAGATGCTCCAAGAAAGTCAGTAGCGGAGATAATATTTTTCTTTTGTTTCCTATAGCGGTCAAAATTTACGAATTTTGACGCCACTGGTTAATATATAAATCCACTCCGAAGATATAATCTTTTTTCAATTCCAAGATTACAATTTCGACCCCCTGAATCTAGGTACCTATGTGGATCAACGAACTTTATGCCCTAGTAATATTGACACATATTTCTGAAACACCCTGTATATAACAACGTCAGTGTGAGGTCCTACAAGCTAAGCCACCGCGAACTATTATACTGGGTGTTTCAGTTTATTGTTGCATAACTTTAAGATTCGATAGAACTTTTAAAATTAATGCATAAAGTCTATATAAACATGGGTCGAAAAATGCGTGGTTTCCGAAATACAGGGTGTTTAAATTTACTTTCTAAAATAGTTTTTTTTTAATATTTCGGACAATATTCGATATATAACAGTGAAAATTGGTATATGAGGGTTTTTTGGCACGACAAAACGAATATATAGTTTTACTGTAGCCGCTAGAGGGCGCTCTCTGCTGAACCTGTAGTGTATTAAAATGACCGAAAAATTTTTCTTAGTGCAATTTTTTGCTTTTTGAATAAAAAAACTGATTCCTCGCACTTTTCAACATAAAAAAGCTCTCCGGTGAGTTTTCGTTATAGTTAGCCGTTTTTCAGATATTTCGATTTTAAGGTTCGAAGCATTTTTAATTATTTATGGGAAAATAATATTTTTTTTACATTTTCGATTTGGGCATTACAAGTAATTAAGATGATCGTTTAGATTGTGTTTTTAAATACAGCAATAATTCCTAACTCCAAATAAATACATAAAAACAGAATATTAATTTGTTTAATTTTCCAATATTATTTTTAACAAATTAAATTAATTATTTACAACTAAAATGCTATTGGATAGTTAGGAGAAACATACAAAATCTACAGTAGTTGCTCGAAATGTAAACCCAATTGTTCAATACTCAATTCACTCCGAATTATCGAACGTGGTATAGCATTATTCAAATAAGGCCTTATTTCATCACATGCATTCCTGATTCTGTCTATTAGCATATCTCTTGTGGTTACGGGAGTCTGGTACACTTTTTCTTTTATAAATCCCCTCACAAAGAAATCTAATGGATTTAGGTCAGGGGATCGTGGAGGCCAGGCGACTGGTCCTCCACGGCCGATCCATCTTTCTGGATAATTTTCGTCCAGCCAGTTTCTAACTATTCTCGAATAATGAGCTGGACAACCATCAAGCTGGAACCAGGCCAATCTTCTTAAATCTAACATAACATCATCCCACATATTTGCATGTTCAGCCTTTAAAAATTCCAAGAAGGTCGCAGCATTTAACCTTGCAGGCAAAAGGTTGGGTCCAACTAGTCGATTACGGTAGATACCAATCGACACGTTCTCACTAAATTCATGCTGAAAATTTCTTTCCCGAACTGCATGCGGATTTTCATGCGACCAAATATGTTGATTATGAAAATTTACCACTCCACGTCTAGTGAAGCATGACTCATCGGTCCATAAAACGTTACTTAAAAACTCCCTATTATTATCAGTTCTATCAAGAATCCACTGACAAAATGTGATTCTTCGTTCTCCGTCCCCTGGCTGTAGTCCTTGCACAGCTTGCAAATGGTAAGGACGTCTATGGTCATTTCTAAGAACACGGTGAACATGCCTTGCTGAAATTCCCAAGGCACCAGAAACTCTCCTAACACTTGTGGTCGGATCTCTATCAAACTCACGCAGAATCATACGGGTAAATCTGCGCTGATGAACATTTATGTTTTGATCCCTTTGGAGATTTCCAAAACCATTTTCAATTATTTGGCGATGCACTCTTACAAATACTGAGCGAGTTGGATGTTGTCTGTTTGGAAATCTTCGCGCGTATTCTCTGGCTGCTTCTGCTGCGTTTCCATTTACAAAGCCATACACAAAATGAGTATCCGCTAACTCTTGATTGGAGAAAAAAAATGGCATTTTTATAAAACTTACAAAAAAAACAGGTAAAAGAAACTAAATTTCGTGCATTCACATTTGCAAAAAAACGTTTCAGGTTTCAACAGACAACAAAACTAACTGTCAACTAATTGACGTTTAACCTTATTCTGCTTTCAATTTCAAAAATATTTGCAGGCACAGCCTACTTCTAAAAATTATCGAGATACTGACTTTTTAATGTTATTTTATCATAAATAATTAAAAATGCCTCGAAAGAGATCTTTTTTATGTTGAAAAGTGCGAAGAATCAGTTTTTTATTCAAAACGCAAAAAATTGCACTATGAAAAAATTTTCGGTCATTTTAATACACTACAGGTACAGTAGAGAGCGCCGTCTAGCGGCTACAGTAAAACTATGCCCATGGTTCGTTTTGTCGTACCACAAAAACCCTTATATACCAATTTTCACTGTTATACATCGAATATTGTCCGAAATATTTAAAAAAAACTATTTTAGAAAGTAAATTTAAACACTCTGTATTTCGGAAGCCACGCATTTTTCGACCCATGTTTATATAGACTTTTTGCAGTAATTTTAAAAGTTCTATCGAATCTTAAAGTTATGCAACAATAAACTGAAACTCCCTGTACAAAGCTACCCGAGACCCAGAGGCATATCATATTGTAACACTCTCGCAACTGGGACCTTGAGTAACGATGAGGCGCCTTTGCAATATCGACGTTTAGGCAACCAGAGTTACGCAGCCGGCATCGCTTGCAGCCAGAATACGTTGAGTGCTCGTAACGGTATCAGGTGCGTTAGACACCCATCGGGAAGCATCTACCACCATTGAGAAGCTTCGATCGACGTCTAAAAAACTTCGATAAAGTGTGAGATTGCTATAGATACCTCACACAGTCCAGTCGACATGGTTGTAAATTTATCATAAATTAGTTGCAAATGCACATATTGCGTTAAAACAGAGGCTGGGCAGGGTTTTCTTAACTAACCTTAAGAGCCTAGTGAGCCAATTTTGTTATATTTACACTCTATATAATGCTAGAATTGTTGTATTCGTCATAACATCTTGTATAACCATATCTGAAGTAGCCAAAGTTTTAATCAGCGTCTTAATATATGTTTTAGTTATAATCGCGCTGACCCTAGTCAACTTTTGGCTTCCACCGCAAGCTGGTGAGAAAATCATCATCAACGGTTCTACGGCGCTGATGATATGCTTGTTTATGTTATATTTTACACAAAAGTTGCCGGCCATGGGAACACACACTCCACTCATTGGTAAGCCATTACCAGCATCTATAGCATATAAGTCTTTAAATTTTTAGGTCGATTTAAAGTCCAAGGTACCTTTCAAACTACGCTCTTCCTCTTCTTTGCTCTCTCACCCTATTTTTCTTCATCTATTCCTCCTCCTTCACTTTGTCTGGTATCTGGCCAACCAAACCTGGCAGGTCCATTGGCCTGAGTGATATCCAATACAATAGAAAGTCATACCTGGATGAAAGTAAGCATACGTTCCGTGGCGCCTAGGGTTTTCTTTCGTCCTGCTTCTTTCGTTCCTTTTCGGGCCAAATTTTTCACGTGTCCGGGTTTTGTTAGGCCTTTTAAATCGTATAATCTTTTTAACCGGCTATTGAGATAATTTAAAAAATGTGCGACTTCCCCCAACAAATAAAGTCTGACTTTGAGAACCAAATGTTCAGCTAACTATAGTGCCAAGTCACCTGACTGTCTTTCAAGTTTTGCATATAGAAACATAGTAGGCCGCGCGGATCGAACGTCAGTGCTGAACCTTAACCTCACTCTTTAGTAAACTTAAATTCAAAGTTTCACAAGAATCCGTGCAGTGTTCTCACTACAGTGAATTTTTAAGTGTCACCAAGTCATTAGAAAAATGGAACTCAATCGAGAAAATTTTCGCGCCATAATTTATTACAAGTTTCAGAGACAATTATCGCAACAAGAATGCCTTGCTGAGTTACTGTCTGTTTTCGGCAACGAAGCGCCACATCAGTCAACAATTTCCCGTTGGTATGGAGGATTCAAACGTGGACGGATGAGTCTTAGCGACGATCCCAGGGTGGGTGCACCAAAAACGGCAGTCACCCAGGAAAACGTCGATGCTGTGCGCAAACTCATCATTGAAGATAGACATGTGACATATCGCGAGATTGAAGCGTCCTTGAAGATCTCAAACACCTCAATTGAAAAAAAATTACATGAAGAATTAGGTGTAAGAAAATTACTATCTCGTTGGATACCCCACCTGTTGACTGAAGAGCAGAAAGCAGCCAGGGTTAATTGGTGTCAAAAAACGCTTGATCGTTTCAATTCCGGAAACTTAAAAAATGTGTACAGCATTGTTAGTGGTGGTGAATCGTGGATTTACTGTTATGAACGAGAAAATAAACGACAGTCGGCTGTTTGGGTGTTCCAAGGTGAAGAAAAGCCAACAAAAGTCATCCGTTCTCGAAGTGTTTCGAAAAAGATGGTCGCGACATTTGTGTCAAAAGCGGGTCACATTGCAACAATTTCTCTTAATGAGCAAAGAACTGTTACTGCGGATTGGTATACCACCATTTTTTTGCCAAAAGTCATTACCGAGCTTCGAAAAATCAACCCCGAAAGAAGAATCATCCTCCACCAAAACAATGCAAGCTCGCACACAGCCCAAAAAACAAGGCAGTATTTAACGGAATTATTGTAGTTGTATTATAGTCCTAACGATTTCTTTACTTTCCCGAAAATTAAAAACTGACTGCGTGGTCAAAGGTTCCAGTCACCAGAAGAAGCAGTTAGCGAATTCAAAAATGCCGTTTTGGATCTGCCAGCAAACGAGTGGAATAAGTGCTTCGAAAATTGGTTCGAGCGCATGCAGATGTGTATTAATCTTCGTGGAGAATACTTCGAAAAACAATAAAGTCATTTAAAACTACCTACCGTGTTGTTTTATTTCCATATGCAAAACTTAAAAGACATCCCTCGTATTTTGTATTTTATAAGATGACAACCTTAGTGTCGCCGCCAACTACTTGAGCTTACCAACCATACGAGGACTGTAAATAAAGTGTTGAGGCTGACTTTTTTATATATTTTTATTTATTCAAATATAATTACAATTTTATGTTGTCACCCTCAAAATAACTTCCTTCTGAAGCCACACAACGCTGGAGATAGTTCTTTCACTCCTCATAGCAGTGCTGGAGATCCGTTACTGGAATAGCCCTCAGCTGATCGGTTACAGTCGTTTGAATGTTTCCGTCTGTCCCAAAATGAGTTCCCATGAGGTGATTTTTCAACTTCGGAAACAGAGAAAAGTCACAGTGACTCAAGTCAAGCGAATAAGGAGGCTGTGGTGCCCCAGGAATGTTTTCACTGGCCAAAAACTCTTTTATTGACTTTGCTGTGTCTCAAGAAGCTTTATCGTAATGCAACACCCAGTAGTTCTTGATCTGATGAACGGTGGTGTGAGTCAAATTTAACTCTTGCCCTGATTCTGTCGCTATTTTCATCAGTTCTTGAAGATGAAGGCCTCCCACTTCGTGGTTCATCTTCAATCAACTCTCTTCCTTCTGAAAATGCTTTAAACCACCTGAAAACCTTGGCACTTAGCAAAACACTGTCTCCAGAGGGCTGCTGAAGTTTAGCAAGAGTTTCCGCATTATTGCCAGACAAAACAGTACCATTAGTCATATTTGTCACCATTTTACATAATACGTAACTAACAAACAATTGATTGTTTTTATTTCAGTGATGTTCTATAGCAGCTGTTTGTACATAGTGACATTTTCGATGATCGGATCCGTGATAGTGATGACAATTTCGAGAACTAAGCACTCCAAATCTCTCCCATGGATAATCAAGCAACCCTTGACTGGGACATTTGGAAAACTTTTAGGTCTTGGACCGTACATCAAACAAGTATGTACTGATATGTATGTTAGTTGTTAAAATCGAAATTTACTCAATTTAGTGTTTGAGTCCATCTACCTGATACATTTTTCGGCTAGTGCCGCCCAAAATTCGAGAAACTGCAGAATACCGGAGTACAGTTATACTAAGTGACATATAAATCCGAACACCCAGTTTAAATGGTTTTATTTTAATAAAAGTTGGTGAATGTATTTATCTTACTGTAAATAACAAGTGAAAAAAAATTCAGCCTTATCAGTTGGACATTCCGGTTTTTATACTGCTTTTTTTTAATTCACTAACGCTCTAAAAATGAATATTTCAGCCGCAGTAAAGAATCAACGTTGGCGGATTTTGGTTCTTGACATCCTTTACGATCGGTTACGATGCCTAGAGTACGGAGACCTGTACGATTTCGTCAACTTAGTGAGTTTGATAGGGGCCGTATAGTGGGACTTCGGGAAGCTGGACTTTCTTTTCGGGCAATTGCAGTTAGAGTGCAAAGAAGTGTAGACACTGTGGTTAGGTGTTGTCAGGCATGGCTTCGAGAAGGCCGTACGCAAAGAGCAAGGGGCACTGGACGCCGCCGTAGAACAACAGACCGTGAAGATCGCCGCCTAAGATTATTGGCCTTAAGGGACCGTTTCTCCACTACCAGGTCCATTGCAAATGAATGGTTTGCAGAACACGGAAGACCTATTGGCATGCGAAGTGTTTACCGACGAATGAGAAGTTTTGGCTTGTTTTCATACCGGCCACACTGGGTCCTCCCTTTAACTCCAGAACACCGACGTAATCGCCTTGAGTGGTGCAGACAACGGTCACTCTGGGATCAGGAATGGAACAGTATTGTCTTTAGTGACGAGTCTAGATTTTGTTTAAGCATGCACGATGGTCGTGCCAGGGTTAGAAGGCGACGTGGTGAAAGGAGGAATCCACAGTTTTTTGTTGAAAGACATGTTCATCACACTGTTGGACTTATGGTTTGGGGTGCTATAGCTTATGGTTCCAGGTCACCTTTAATCTTCATCAGAGGTAACATGAACGCGCAGCGTTATACCCACGAAGTTCTAGAACCCCATCTTTTACCCTATCTTGACATCCTGGCAGATCCAACTTTCCAACAAGATAATGCCCGACCACATGTTGCAAGAGTCACAATAGACTTCTTTCAACATAATGATGTCACATTGTTACCATGGCCACCAAGATCTCCCGACTTATCCCCAATTGAGCACGTGTGGGATATGATGGGTAGGAGATTGCTCAATTTGCAACGTCCTCCTCAGACTCTAGAACCACTTCGAGAGGAGTTGGTGGTTGCCTGGAATGAGATACCACAGGAGGACATTGACCACCTGATCAGAAGCATGCCTAGGCGCGTTGGAGAATGCGTAGCACATCAGGGTGCATCCACACATTATTAAAGGTCAAAGGGCTTTAAAGCAGTGCAATCATTTTGAAATTTTTATCATTTACTTATTATGCTTCATTAAGTACTTATACAAAATTTTATTATAATAAAACCATTTAAACTGGGTGTTCGGATTTATATGTCACTTAGTATATTTGGTAGTTTTACCTGGAAAGTTTTGGAGAACTGTCGATTGGATATGTTTATAGATTTCGACGCGTTCTGAATTAATTTACACCTCACAAAAATAAAGTCGGATTTCAGTTTTTTTCCAAAATCTTCGTTCCGATTCGTTCCTCGATAAATATCCTACAATTCATGTTTATTCCGCCGCATTTTTTTTAAGGCTGCATAGCTCTGGCAGCCTGAGAAGGTTACGAATATACGGGAGATTGTTTGTTGCTTAAATGATTTGGTAGTTTGTAGTTACAGCTGGTAAAAACTTAATACTTTCATATTGTCACGACGGTGAAGTGGGAGCAAGGTTGGTCTAGGTTCAGCAGACTTGCTGGTAAGGAGGCTCAAATGATAACACAAAAAAATAAAATATCAAAGTGTACTAACAAAAAGCCGTGCAAATAAAAGTACAATAAAATGACATGATAATTGACGCGTTCTCCTCTTCATTCCACAACGTCAACGCGGGTGTTTCTCTTACATATCAACGAGGTTCTTTCCTGTACGAACAACCCAATCCACAGCTTTGCTGATGCTCTACACGCGGGAATACAGAGCAACAAGCCGATCTTTGTCGCTGAGCTGGAAAAAAGAAGACTAGCGACGACTTCCTCCCTGACGAGAGACCTGGAAGTTATCACTGCTTGGGGACACAATAGTCTTATACAGTTTAATGTTTCCAAAACACTGTATTGTACCTTGACGAACAGAAAGCGTCGTAGCGCTCATCAGGTTTCGATGGATGGTAGAGTTCTGCCAGGTCGGCACGTTCGGGGTGCTGCCGTCCCGACTACATTATTTATGCTTAATGCTGTCCAGAGGAGGGATGTCCGACTGATCGATGAGTCTTCTCTAACAGACAGTCTCGGGACCCTTTCGCACCGGCGGGTCGTCGGCGATCTAGCTCTCATCTACCGCTATACCAACGGGCTTTGCTCCTACATGATGCGGCTGCCAGACAGATCTGACTTTGGCCTCCCATCCTAACCGTGTGGAACTTCGTACATCCAGAACTGGTCGATATGACCGCTCATTTGTGCCGAGGGTGTCGAGATTGTGGAACAACCTACAAGAGGAAGCTTTTCCCATTTCTACTAACCTTAGGCAGTTGAAAACTCGGATTACCAAAATTTCTTCGGGATCCTCATAGCAGCCGCGGTGTCATGGCGAATAATACACCTTTGCAGATTATGCATTATTTGAACATTTCTCAGCAGATGCGGTTTAGGATATCTATCGTCCTATAAGGCGCCTATGTTGCGGTGATCTCTCGTGTCTTTATTTTTCTCCGAATTTTCACTTTAATACCTTGTATCTTTGTCGCTTGCTCTGTCATACTGAAAAAATGACAACCAAAAAAGTATTTCGGCCAGATTTTTAAGACACTCTTGCTTATTTTTTCAAGAATATAGTTTTATAAAAAAGTAAACTCGAAATTTTCGTCCGAATCTGGTTTTGTGAGTTTGATGTTTTTCGCATGCAGGTGCAGAAAAAAGCTTATTCTAACGCAGTCTTGGGCGTCATTTTTTAAATACGGAGCAGCAAGGCAAACATTCGGAAACTGCATGTAGACATACACCTTATGAAAAACTATTGTTATACATGGGAAATCATTTCTTGGCAACAGCGCATCGGCTCGTCTACTTTCATCGCTATTCGTACATATTTCCTACCATTAACCGCAGACCTGTATCACGAATGAGAATAATAGGCAGATACGCTGTGTTGCCAATTTGAGTAGAGCTTCCCGAATTGTGGGGAATTTAGAGTTAAGTGTTGATTCATTCAAGCTTTTAATCAGCTTGGCCTAGACGTTAGAACTTCATAAAGATAACATTAAAACTGAATGGTGCTGGAGTATAGTGTTTCGAATATTCAAAGCGGAGCGGGACACTATACTCGTTCAATGGGTCATCAGGCCACAGTCTTTTCAACAAAGGAATTATTTTACGAAAATGCGTTATATTTTTACGATTTTGTCGTCACCAAATCTCTGTTTCTCAAAATGTACGTCTATTGTAGAATTTTCAGCAAACTAAGCAAGAAACGTGATCTAGTATTTACTCAACATTACGGATTTCTCGAAATACATTAAAAAATGTGACCTAGATACCTAACTGCCCCAAGCTCTTTAAATATAACACCTTAAACCAGGGTTACCAGGTGCTCAGTCACGTTGATTGTCATGTTGTACTGCGCAAGTCAGCAAACAATCTGGCGTAATAAACGTTAGGAATCATCAGGTATCGCCAGATTCCCGAATACCCGGCACCTTAGTAACCGTTATAGTTGTCCTTCAAAGTTGTCAAATCGCCCCTATGGCGCAAATTCGCCACACCAGGCAACTGTGTTATAAACAAACCCTGTTTATCACTACTATTTGATAGTCATATGGTAGTTGTAGCCCTATCTAGCGGTCCATGATTTCTCTCAATACTGTTGTATCTCTACTCGCAACAAGAATAGGGATTACAAAATCATTTATACAACAATATACAAACATGAAAAATATGATTTGAACCATGAAACATTAATACAATTTTAATAGTTTGAACTTTTTTCATTTTTGGAATACTCTTATGTGGAATCCGCAGCTATTTTTCCCGAAATTTGGGTAGACTAAGATTTCTTAGAAATATGACATATTCGATTTCGGCAACTCTGCGAATGGGAGAAACAAATCGCATTTGTTGAGCGCATCCGTCTAAGCGGTAGGCGCCAGCGCCCGTTCTGCCATCTCTCTCTTTTATCACTCTTCTACTTTACCCCGTTGTCCGTCACCCTCCGACGCTGCCAGATACGATCCTACAATCGAGTGTCTTTCACGCACCTACATACTTTTGTATATTTCCATCTCTCTTCCTCATCATAATGTATAATAATGGTTTTTCCCATACTGTATATGGAAGCAGTAATTTTGGAAGCGTTTCCAAAATATTGCAGGTAAAACTACCATCATTGCGCCAATAAATGATTTCCCGAATATTTTTATTGGTGTAAAATTTGACATTTATGAACGCCGAAACAGTTAATACAGCGGACCTCCGGTAATCCGACAAACATTATGCAGGGCAGTGTCGGACTATCGAATTTGTCGGATTATAGAGCACTGCCTAAGACCCCCTATAGTCCGGAATTTTTTACAAAAGAGTATGGTGTATCTGAAGTCACTTGAAATAGCATAAAAACCTTTGGTCGGCGCGTCCTTTGTAATTTCATGACGTATCATAGGCGTGCAGCATTTATTTAGACCGATAATAATAATGTTTTTATATCACAATAAATGGATTTTACTATCTTCTTATTTTTTTGATTTGGGATAAAAAATACTTATATTGAGAGTTTAATTTATGTTGACTGAAAGTTAAGAAATGGAAAAATTACAGAATTCCAACGTTTGACATATTTATATAGCAGGTAGGTATATAAAAAGGTATATAAAGACTTACATTGTAGGTATTTATATATCATCCTCGCCTTCGGAGCTGTCGCTAGAGTCATCTTGTAGAGGAATTACAACGGGATTTACAGGAGGCAAAACACAATATTCATTTTCTTTTTCAATAATATGCCTAGAACCCTGCTTCCATAGGTCTGTGGCAGCAATATGAGATACTGCATCTCTTATTGTGGCCAATAGCGATTCACTTAATTGAGGGGTCTGATTATGTTTTCTTACTTTTTTTTTTAAAGCAGCCCAGACCAACTCAATCGGGTTAAAAATGCAGTAATAGGGAGGTAGACGTAATACTTCATGGCCATTTTGCTGAAGCAGATTGTCAACAACATACTCTTTTTCAAATTTTTGTCTTTTAATAAGATCCAATAATATGGCTTTGGTTGATTTTTGTGGTATTTCCATTCCCTTATCCTTCATAAAATCAATAATGTCTTGTTTTTTTGTGCCTGTATTCGGAATTTTGTTTTTCTGTCGAGAATGGTATGGCGCATTGTCCATAATAATCACTGAATTTGGGGAAATGTTTGGTATTAACTGCTGCTCTATCCACTTTTCAAATAAGTCGGAGGTCATGTCCTCATGATAGTCGGCACATGATTCTTTGATATTTTTGGCAGATAACAGCAAGGCATTAGGTATAAATCCATTTTCACTGCCAGCATGGAGAATAATGATTCGTTTTCCACGGTTGCATGGTGCATTTAAAATGCACTTGTTGCTGTCGTCAACCCAGCCGTACTGCACAACATCATGGGTATCATACCACGTTTCATCCAGGTAAATCAGATTTCTTTTCTGCTCTCTATAGATTTTAACTTTGTGCAAAAATTCTTGGCGCAATTCAACGATTCGAGACGACTCCATAATCACCATTCTTTTATCTAATTTTTTGTATTGAAAACCACACAGTTTTACAATACAGCGCAGTGAGTCTAAGCATTTGTAATTATAAAAATCTTCAGGATAATCTTTTAATTTATCCCGTATCATTTAAAACGTGGGCACCAGATTCTCTTTATAAAATCCGTATATTATACGACGAATATCTTCCTGAAAACCCACGTCTATTCTTTTTAATTTTTGCCCTATGCGCTTTCTGTGGAAGGAATGGTTGACTACATCTCCCGTTTTTATAACCCGATAAATGGTAGACCGACTGATTTTTGTCAGGATACAAATTCTGTTTAAAATTTGATTTTGCGAGGAATCTGGATTTTCGTTTTTCAGACAATCATACATATTTAGGATTACTCTTTGGGTCTGTTCCTCTAAATCTTTATGACAGAATTCTGCCAGGACAGGTTCATCAACCATCTCCTCGTGGCTTGGAGCATTTTCCCAAGGTCTCCAAAGAGCCATATTTAGGACACACAAGAACAATCAACACAACAATTAAATCAACAAGTAAACTGAGTATTCAAAAGTCAAAAACACACAAACTAATAAAATCTATGAAAAAACACGGACAGACTAAAGAAAACACGTTTATTCACCGCTACACGGCACTGGCTAAACTGTTTCAATTTTCAGTAGCCACCTGCACTTGTTCCGAGCTCTGAAATACACGCTTTCTCATTGGCTATGTCCACGCATAGGCGTGCTTTACTCCACGTGGACCGGTGAAACTGCCTTTGATCTCTTATATTTGCTGTGAAATTTGGCGATTTTTGCAGCAACAGAGCGTGTTAAATATAGATATATAAAACGCACCCGGTATTTCACAGTGTTTCAAGTGATTTCAGATAAAGTATACCTTGTAATCCGACAAATTACATATATCCAATGGTAAGATTATATATGTTATGTATATGTATGTACTTTGAAGTACAAATCATACATAGTTTATGTATGTCGAATTTAGTAAATTAAATAACAATAAAGAGCTTACGTTTTATTATAAAATTAAGCATAAATGCACATGTACCAAAATAATCAAGAATTGTTAATCAAAATCATTAATGAATTTATCAAATTATGAAGCTTGGAAATATTCATCAATTTTTTGTTTTGTTTAAGGTTGTTATAACGCGAGATCAGAGCTTTGTCCCCCAGTCTTTTCAAAAGTAAAAGTTCGTTGTAGGATCTACCATTCTCTTCAGCCGATTGTAAACCTAGCTCAAAGGCGTTAATTGCGTGTTGTGCTGTGACTTGTGGAGCAGTTGCAATCACGTCGTCGTTATTTTCCTGATTGTTTGTTGTATAATTAGAAACCTCTTTTATAACCTCTTCGTCGGACATTTCATGAAAAACATTTTCCTCTTTATCCATTCCACGCCACCAGATTTCCAAATCTTTCAGTAGCGACTTGTTCTATAACTTCCTAAGTTACACTGATTTGTGGAACGTTGCTAGGAGTGGTGACCAGATCAGGCCATAACTTTTTCCAAGACGATTTAATAGTTGATGACGGTAACGCATTCCACGACTGACAAAGAGCAAAAACCAAGTCTTTCATATTAAATTCTTTTAAAGTTTTTTCTATTGGTTGGTCTTTTGATACGGCCCTCAGAAGTAGGTTTTTCTTATAGTCTTGCTTGACAAACTGAATGATATTCTGGTCCATTGGTTGAATCAGTGCAGTGCAATTTTGCGGAAGAAACCTCGCAGTGATGCATTTATCCTCAGTTGTGAGTTCTTCTTCAGACGGATGACCGGGAGCGTTATCAAGAAGCAACTACGCTTTTTGAGGAAAAGTATGATCTTTTAACCATTTTCTAACTTCAGGTATGAAGCATTCATCAAAACACTTTTTGAAAAGGTCTTTTGTTATCCATGCACTTTTTTGTCCGTAATAGTGTACAAGTAAATCATTGTTTTTGAATGCCCGTGGTTTATTAGATTTCCCAATGACCATCATCCTAAGCGCGTGTGTGCCCGCAGCTTTAGCACATGGTAGTATGGTTACACGCTCTTTACTTACTTTTCGTCCAGGTACGGATTTTTCGTCCAGGTACGGATTTTTCGTTACAAGAAACGAAAGTTTTGTTAGACATCACACGACAAAAAAGCAATGATTCGTCTGCATTGTACACCTGTGACGGGTCAAGATTTAAATCGTTCACCTTTTGCAAAAATCTTAATTTAAAGGGCTCTATGCAGGTGGCATCGTTAGAAAGTTTCTCTCCTGTAATAGTCAAACGTATGCCATGACGACTTTTAAAACGTTCTAGCCATCCTTTGCTGGCTACAAAATCATCTTATTTTGTTATTTCCTTATAAAAAAACTTAGCTTTCGTGGCCAACATGGGTCCTGAAATTGGTGCATGCCTATTTATTTCCCGAAGAAATCACATGTACAAAGCTTTTTCCACTTCTGGATGTTCATCTTTCTTGAGTGTCTGTCTCTTGCCTGGCCCGCAGTCAGTAGTTGACACGAACTTCTAGATCTTCTCGTGGTTTCTTTTGATGTCATAAATTGTAGATCGGCCTACGCCGTATTCACTTGCTAAACTACTGAAAGTTTCATTGCGATTTAAGCGGTCTAAAATATGACATTTTTCTTTAATTGTCAATCTTTTGTGCTTTCTCTTCTGAGTTTGTGATGAAATTACTAGGTACTATACTTAATACACAATGAATAAATAGTAAACAATGAACGCACGCTAGGCCGTACTGCTATCACAAGTAGTCAAATTCAAACTAAGTAAAACAATGCTTACGCGTCGAGCACGATAGCGGTGGCGCGTACAAGTTGTAACCTGTTCAAACCTGGGTGATCTACATTAGCGAAGATTGTCAAATACGTATGTATGTAATATTCAAAGACATGTCGGATTACAGGGGGCGCCGGATTAGACAGGGGCCGGATTATTGCGGGGTCCACTGTAATGCAAAAAAATCTAGACACAGTTTGCAGGAAATTCTCTCTAGTTTAATCTATCATCGTAAGATGAGTCAGAAAGAAAATTTAGTCAAGAGACTCTACTTGACAAAATTTTTTGTTCACAGTTGACAGTGACGCATCGAGTGACAGCTGAAGAAATGAGAGATCACCAAGTGTCCGATTTCGATGATGCCACTAGCATAGATGAAAGGCACATTATGGGATCTTCTTCTCGTATGAGCAAATCATCAACTCAAGATGACTGGATCCTGCTTGCCGCTGCAATTGATAGGATTTCATTTGTTTTCTACTGTATCCTATTTGGTATCCTGTCGATAGTTTACGCTGTGTGATTTTTTCAATAAAAGTGTTATCTGACAAACTGCTTTTGTGTTGGTACTTCCCCTCAGTGCAGTCACAGAGATCGGTTTCGTAGTATTTAAATGCCTACCTGCAAAGTGCTGTCATCCGCAAAGCTGTGGATCCGACCAGAAACACAATTGTCGAAAACGAAGGAAACGAAGGAAATGTAGTCTGTGCTCCTTTTACTTTTTAACGCGCGATTGGTCGCTAGACGCTTTTTTTGCCATCGGTCGCGCTTGAGATTTTCTCTCAATAGTCTTACGCGGCCCCTTTTATTAAAAAAATATTTGATTTGATATGATTTATTACAGTAGTGTATGAATGTAATAAGTATTTTATTGATTAACTACTAACATAAAACACAGAAACGTTAATAATTGAAAAGATGATTAACAAAAGTTCTCATAAATAAAGAAATAAACTAAATTATGTTTTATTCAAATAAAATCAGTCCGAATCACTAGGCTCGTTTGAGCAGCTAGAGCAAATATAGAGGAAAGTAGCCTAATATCGGATACTTTTTTGTTTTTGGCAACAAAAAATAGATAGTATCTTCCTAGAACGCTAACATGCTGCGAAGTATTTACATAATATGTCTTCTTGTATAATTTGAAAGCAGATTCCTCTAATTCATCATTTTTTTTCGAAAACCACAAATAATCATTGGAGTGCTAAAATTACTTTTAAAATTGGGTTCCCAATATCGGATAGTAGGTGTTCCTAATATCCCACATGCCCGATACTAGGAACTCGAAGGTTTGAAAAAAGGCCAAAGGAATTTATTTTCATGTTTTATTAATTTAATACCAAGGAGCGTGGCAGCAGCGGTGGCCGCAGTAGTAGACTCTTCGGTCTCCTGATCAGTCGCCGTTCGCTGTGCGGGTTCGAATCCCGTTCCAAGAGAAATTTTCTCTTGGCTATGGATGTTGTGATTGTCCGTAGGTGGTAGACGGTCTCTGACTGTCGAACGCGGAGGTACCACCCGGCGGATCTCGTAGGTGGAGCCAGAATGTGTGCATGTTGCATGCACACGTGTTCCCTCGCCAAGATTCCGTGTTGCGTTCCCCTTTTCCCCTGTATCCCCCTATAGCCTCACGGTACCCAATGGGTGTTTAGGCCTTAGGCCTTCGTGGCAGTTGGAGTATAAAAAAAAGGAGCAAAATAACTTAACAAAACGAGAAAACTTGGTAATTAATCTCAACAAATCGGTAATGAGTACAAACAATTTTCACAAAGAAAAGCTGAATTTTTGTTAGTCCCCGCGCATTCTTCATGAGACCAACGGAAACATTGTTTGCATCCTATCCATTCTTCCCCTGTTGTGTCATTATAAATAATAAAAGTTTTTACAGTATAGACACTCAGCGTCTTCATCATCTCTATCTATATCATCATCACTGTCTATTAATTGCACTTCTGTTGTATCTTCACTAGAAGAGCTTAAAGATCGCTTAGTTATTTTCTGTTTTCCTTTCCTTTGATATTGTCCTTTGGTTTCTTTTTAACTCCAGTTATTTATTTTTATTTTAACTGGTTCCTAATATCGGATATGCGATATTAAGGAACCCAAACTGTCCGATATTACGGCACACAACCTCACTAAATTCATTATTTTGTTTTACGGAGAAAAACTGCATTTGTCCTATGTAGTATTAAGTTAAAGTCTGAAATCTATTTGATCCGTTGGTATACAGGGTGACTTTGAAGTTGAGTCATTAATTTTCAGATAATGATTGTAGAAGGAAGATAAACCAAAATATGTGTGTAAAAATAAAAAAAAAAAATAAAAAAAAATTTTTACCTCGTTTTATAAAGTATCCTCCCGACAAGTATTTCAGTGCGAACCTGTATTTGATCGTGAGGTCCCCTGTGAGGTCTTAAGTCACCTGATTCACGAGTCCGTTGTACTACATTAACAAAGGCACGAGGGGTTGGTTGCACTCGATTGGGAAACCGATCCGCATAAACATGTGCCATTTTTTATTTCGTTTGAGCCACGCAACAGACACTATTCACATGCCTTACCGACTGACACTGACTGTATGTATAACTGAACTGAATAAAATAATTGTAAAAACATCGTTCCAAATTCTTTCGCTTTTTTGTTTCCGATGCGATGAACCGATAAGGCGGATTATATCCGTTGTTGCCAAACACGAGCACATGATATTATTATTGAGACAGGGCGGTACTCAAACTTCCAAAGGGCTATAACTTTCTTACTTTAATTTTACCAGAAAAATGGTAAAGGAAAAAAACATTTCTTTTGATCAGATCTACTCACTGTTAAAATAAATGACTCAACTTCGAAGTCTAGTATAATAAACAAAATAACAAATTCACCTTTTGGAAATAATGGGTGATTTTTTGCTAGTATCTTTTTGGCAACTCTGTTTTTGACAGATGACACGTGAATCGTGTCTTGTGTCATTGTCAAACTTGTTCAGTTTGGTCTATAATTTAACCATGAATCGACTTACGAACGAACAACGCTTGCAAATTATTGAATTTTACTATCAAAATTCATGCTCGGTTAAGAGAGTGCATCGAGCACTGCTTCCAATTTATGGGCAATTTGGTCGACCTACTGAGGGAGCTATTCGGAAGCTTGTGACTAAATTTCGAACCCAGTTTACATTATTGGACATTAAACCACCAACACGCAGACGTAGAGTGAGGACTGAAGAAAATATTGCGGCTGTATCCGCCAGTGTTAGTGATGACCGTGAAATATCGATTCGCCGCCGTTCGCAGCAATTGGGCCTCTGTTACTCCACTACGTGGAAAATTTTGCGACAGGATTTGGGTGTAAAACCTTATTAGATACAGCTGTTGCAAGAATTGAAGCCACACGACCTCCCACAACGTTTCCAATTTGGTGAATGGGCGCTGGCAAAGTTGGTGGAAGATCCACATTTTTATCGAAAAATTGTGTTCAGCGACGAAGCTCATTTCTGGTTGAATGGGTACGTTAACAAGCAAAATTGCCGCATCTGAAGTGAAGACCAGCCAGAAGCATTGCAAGAGCTACCAATGCATCCCGAAAAAATCACTGTTTGGTGTGGATTATGGGCCGGTGGCATCATCGGGCCGTACTTCTTCGAAGACGACAATGGCCGGAACGTAACTGTGAATGGCGAGCGCTACCGTGCGATGATATCAAACTTTTTTTTGGCCAAAATGGAAGAGCTGGACTTGGCTGACATGTGGTTTTAACAAGACGGTGCCACATGCCACACCGCACTCGAAACAGTGGCCCTATTGAGAGGCGAGTTCGGTGAACAGTTTATCTCACGTTTGGGGCCCGTCAATTGACCGCCTAGATCGTGTGATTTAACGCCGTTGGGCTATTTCTTGTGGGGCCATGTTAAGGCTAATGTCTACAGGGATAAACCAGCAACGATTGACGCACTGGAAGCCAATATTGAAGCATTTATTCGTGAGATACCGGCCGATATGTTGGAGAGAGTGTGCCAAAATTGGACCTTGCGCATGGGCCATCTAAAGCGGAGCCGCGGCCAACATTTACATGAAATAATCTTTAAACATTAAATTATATCGACCGTTCTATGGACTCAAATAAAGGTTTAATCGTTTTTTCAAATTTTTTGTGTTTTTTGAAAAGCAAATCCTATACCTCTTAAAAAATCACCCGTTATAACGTCACTAATTACGGAGTATTAAAATATTCACATGCCACAAATATTTACAACCGCAGAATGGTACACTCAACTAAATTGTAAAAAAATGTTCTGCATCATTGTGCTCTTGATTAGTACAAAAGTTCACAGATGACGCTGCCTGAGAAAAGAAATATAGCGATATCCGATATTAGGAACCTAAACGGTATTAGGACTATTAGGCTACTTGCCTCTATTTACTTGTGTGTTCTGGGCAAATCGGCATCTGTCATGTATTGCAACTTTTTTTCACTTTTCTATTTTTTCTACGAGGATAAAGGTAACAAAATCGAGTTGTGTCTTCTTCTAGTTGCGGGGCATTTTTTCTGCTCTAATCCCTGCTTTTTTCATAATAATTATGACACAACAATTATTGTCGTAAGAAGTGATAAATAGAGGCGCAGGATCTTGCAGATCTATAAAAAAGATAATCTAAAGGTTTTCATTCATGTTCAGAGCACATCGAAAGGGTTTCACCTTTATTCTGCATCTTGTTCTAACTGCAAAAGGGCCAAATTAACAATTTTTTTACCGCGGCTCATGTCAAACCCAATTGGTCGCTCGATGAGAGAAAGTCTCACGTAGCGTACACGTACTCAATCAAAGGGCGTTGTCAACAGACTGGTGTAGGTCTATTAATATACAGGGCAAAGAAGTTATTTCTTGAAGAAAGATAATAAAATATCTCGTACTTATTTTAAATAAGAATTTAGTACTTAGTTTGCGATTGATTTGACCAAACTTTGTTGCTAAAATAACTTGTAACGCTTTATTACAGAAATTAACAATGGTATATTCCACAGCAGAAAGAGTTGAAATTATCGAAATATTTTTCGGAAATAATCAGTGCGCTAATAGAAAAGCAGAAATATTTAATGAGCGACATGAGAACAGTAACGTGCATCGAAAATATGTTCTAGAACTTGTAGCTAAATTTCGGGAAACTGGGTCAGTCGCCAATAAAAAACGCAACATTGAAAATCCCATAAGGGACGAAGCAATAGAAGGGGGTTTTAGGGCAAGTTTATGTAGATTCTACGTTGAATTGGAGACGGTGTGTGTGGTGTTAGTCGACGTACTGTCCAACGGAGTCTAAAGGCCCAAAGTTTTCATCCGTATAAAATTCAACTGGTACAAGAACTTAATGAAGACGATCGACGATTACATTTTTGTGAAGATATGAGTGAACGAATTATAAACGATGAACATTTTCTATTCAACACTTGCTTTTCCGACGAATGTTCCTTTTTCTTAAATGGCGTAGTAAATCGTCATAACTGCCGATATTGGTCCGATTCTAATCCCAGAATTTATCATGAGGTTCATACACAGCAGCCACAAAAATTAAATGTTTGGGCTGGTA